TCTACTTGTTCTACGCTAACTCTCATCAATTTAGAAAAAAAAGAGGTTGAATCATACTGTGCAGAAAGCGACCGTCTCTGTGACAAAAATGCGACAACTTCACCGACAACTGTTTTAGTTGAGCAACAACAGTCATCCGACCCAGAAAACATTTCAAACGATCCTGCCGATTATTTTTACGAAAATTTTACAGAAAAAAACCGCGAAATCTGGATTCGTAAGGGGCCTGCATATTTTCAAAATAAAGATTGTGACTTTTCCAAGGCTTTTAGAACCTACAAAGACAAAGAAGCAGATGGAAAATCAGTAACTAGGTATTTCAATAAAGCATTATTTGATCGTAAATTGAAGAACAATGAAAGCGTTGAAAGGAAATGGTTGCTGTATTCGCCTTCTAAGAAATCTGTATTTTGTTTTTCATGCTGCTTATTCAATCCTTCTGATGTACAACTTTGCTCTCCGGGAGGATGTAATGATTGGAAACATATTAATCACATAATTTTACATCATGAAAATAGCAAATCACACAAGCAATCTATGATGACTTATCTGGCACGCAGTAAAACCGTTGGTAGAGTAGATACAGACCTGCTATCTCAATATCAAGAAGAAGTGAATTACTGGAAAAATGTGCTTAAACGGGTTGTCGCAGTAGTGAAATTTTTGGCATCGAGAGGACTTCCATTTCGCGGTGATAATGAAATCCTCGGATCTCCCAACAATGGAAATTATTTAGGATGTGTGGAGTTATTAAGTGAATTTGATCAGTTTCTTGCAGATCATTTAAAAAAGTTTGGGAATCCAGGGAAGGGACACATTTCTTATTTATCGGCGAATGTTTGTAATGAGTTTATTGACATAATGGGAAAACAGGTACTAACAAAAATTATAAATGAAGTTAAATTAGCAAAATATTTTTCAATTAGCGTTGATAGCACACCCGATATGTCGCATATTGACCAGTTAACTTTTATGATTCGATACGTAAAAGACCGTATTCCCGTTGAAAGGTTTTTGGAATTTATACCTATCAAAGAGCATAAATCTGAATATTTAGCAAAAACTGTCTTGAAATTTTTAGAGGATCACGATATTCCAATCAAAGATTGTAGAGGACAAAGCTACGACAATGCTTCAAATATGTCGGGAAAGTATGCTGGACTGCAAGCGCAAATCAAGGACAAATGTGAATTTGCTACCTATGTACCATGTGCCGGACATTCGTTAAACTTGGTAGGTTTTCATGCCGCTGGATGCGTACAAGAGGCAACAAATTTCTTTCAAATGGTTCAGCAATTATACAACTTTTTTTCGGGTTCTAATCACCGATGGAATACATTGACAGAATATTTAGGTTCAAAAAAAGTTCTTAAAAGCCTTTCTGAAACCAGATGGTCTGCGCGAGCTGATGCAATAAGCGCCTTGCATCAAGGCCATAAACAAATTATAGAAGCCTTGACGTCGATCGCTGAGGATACAGAGCAGAAACCAGAAACTAGGCACGAAGCCCTTAGTTTGTCCAGAAAAATGGAAAAACTGGAATTTATTATAATGACAGAAATTTGGAGCACCATATTGGAACGAATAGACAAAACAAATAAATATCTTCAGAAAGAAACAATGACAATGGACGTTGCAACAAATTTGTTCATTTCACTTGCTGATTTTATTATCAATCTAAGAGATAAATTTGATTGCTTCGAATCGTCTGCCAAAGAGAAATATCCGGAGATTGACTACAAGGACCTATCTCAGAGAACAAGAGGTAGAAGCTCACGTCTGACATTTTATGACGGCTCTGCGCCGTCAATCCAATTAAATGGGAAAGAGAAATTCAGAGTAGAAACTTTTCTTCCCATAATTGACACCCTGAGCCTGCACTTGAAACAGAGATTAAATTGTTATAAAGAAATAAGTCATAGGTTTAGTTTTTTATCTCATTTGAAAACTTTGAACTCCGAGGAGTTGAGACAAAACTGCAAAGAATTTGCAAAAATCTATTATGAAGACGTTAACGAGACAGAATTAGAAATAGAGTGTCTGCATTTAAAAGAATACTTGAAAAGTGTCCACACCAATGAAGATGAAGAAACTAATATTTCGGAAATATATAATTTGTTGAAAGAAGACAACATCGAGAACATGTTTCCAAATGTGGAAATTGCATTAAGAATTTTTTTAAGCATGATGGTTTCTAACAGCGGTGGCGAACGATCCTTCTCAAAATTGAAAAGAATAAAAAACGAATTAAGAAATACAATTCTTCAACAAAGATTAACCAGCTTGTCGCTGATGTCCGTTGAAAGTGACGTGTTAAAAGAGATAGACTTTGAAGAAATAATTAATGATTTTGCATGTCTAAAATCTAGAAAGATATGTCTTTAAACAACATACATTTTAATGTAATTTTGAGGTTATAAAATTAATATTTGAATATAATCTAGTATTTAGTTCACCTACTCCTGTTCTATTGCCTGTTGTTAATAACCCTCTGTCATATAGGGGCCCCATTTATCCCAAAGTGCCCAGGGCCCCCAGTTCGTCTAAGACGGCCTTGGATAATAGTTTTGCCTACCAAAATATCTACACTGAAAAAAGCGGACAAATATAAAATACAAAAACATCACTTTATGTCAGATCTAAAAAAAATTGTTAATGTTTCGAAAATCTGTCTGTTCTCATCTACTGAGTTCAGAGGACGAAAACAGACAGATTTTCGAAACGTTAACAAGTTAAAGTGCTTGAATAAAATGATCGTTCTTGTATTTGTCTGCTTTTTTAATGAGATTTTTTTAGTTAGACAAAATTATTTTCGTAAAAAAACTCTTGACAGATCCTTTTGGCGCAAGGGTTTATTTTGCTAATTTTTAAATATTTTTCACAGATAGCAAAATACCCAAAAAATACAACAGTACAATGTGCATCACTGACTCATCTGCCAATAAATATAATTCTGTAATAGATGACCGGATGCTACTGTTCGTGCTATTTTTTGTTTTTTCTTAAATAAACTTGTTAGTATTTTTGGAATTCTTTGTAACTAATGCATTATTGTCAATATTAAGTTTCTGGTTTGGGTCCAACATTGTATACTAGTGATATTGAACATTTAATGAGTAGACTGCCTATATTTATCTGAATCGTGGTCAAGATGTTAAATATTTTATGTTGAATGAGAAATATTTTACCTACTTTTTTATCATTTACATAAGTTCATAGTTTTTTAATTGACTGAAGAATTTTTTATTTTTTTAATTTTATGAGATCTTCATAAATATATTCCAGAATGAAGCTATGTTCTAAGTTTTTCATTTTATAAAGTATTGCCCAAGTTCTTTTTTCACAGTTACATATTTTTGTTCCTTGTCAAAACATTAAACAAAACTAGTAGACATAAAAAGTTGAAATACAGGGTGTTTCAAAAAGATGTTGCCAAACTTGGAGGGAATATATGGGACATTGTGGTAGAAAATTTTTGCATATAAACCCCTAGTCGGAAATGAGCTCTGGAGCAGTTTTTGTCCAAAGACGTAATGTTATCTCTTGACACCAAAAGATTTCCATATTTAAGTAACTTTTATTAAGAATAACGCAAAAAATGATTGAAACAAAATAAACACGTTTATCTCTTCTGATAAGTGTTTACCAACTGCATGTCCTACACATGATGTTGGTAAAAATTGATTTTTATCCACTACTGTGATAAAAGCTCTATTGAACGCATCTAATCTAGCCATACAATGTCATCTATGTCGCGCTGTGAGGAATAGTGAAACAAATGAACAGAGCTGTCACGTAATAAATGGTCGGATATAATCGAGTGTTTTACATTTGTTTTGTTCGTGACGAAATTTTGTTTCTAAGTTATTGAAATGGGCCAATTCATGTTCAAAGACACACACACACATGCACACATGCACTATATTTATGACGAAGTAAGATCCAATGCTAGAGAAGCTGAGCGCATTCCGAATAGCCGACATCCTTGCCGAACAACATTTTCGTCGATCCATCGTCGGTTAAGAGAAAAAGACTTTGAACCAGATGTAGGAACTGCAAGGATAGTGGTCATTGAGGAAAACGTTTTGCATCGAACTAAAGAATAACCTACCACAAGCTGTTTTGAACAATAATTATAAAATTATTTTTGCGTTATCCTTAATAAAAATTACTTAAATATCAGTCTTTTGGGGTCAATGTAATAACATTACGTTTTTGGACAAAAATTGCTCCTGGGCCAAAACGGCTCATTTCCGACTAGCAGTTTATATACAAAAATTTTCTTCCCAATGTCCTCTATAACTCCATCAAATTTGGCAATACCTTTTTGAAACACCCTATACAGTGATTCAGTCATAATGTCATTAATTTTAAGAGCAGATAGAGAAAAATGAGTATAATACGATGGCGTGATTAAAAAAAAATTTAAATGCATATTTAAGCTGAAAAAAAATATTTTCAANCGGGGCCCAGCCAGGACAAAAGGAGGTCCCACAAAGCGCCTACACCGGCCGCATTTGCGGTCGGGGTAGACGACGGATGGGGCCCACCTACGAAGGCTGTACAGGCCTACACGATAAGAGGCAGGATAAAGAGGGATAATCCCCCTCGATCCCAAATCATTGTGGCCAATTTTTAGCCATGGAATAATGGGGTACCGTTTTCGAGATATTAACGATTTTTTGTTAGAAAAAAAAGCGATTTTAACCATTTTCTTCTCTAAGGATTACGTCAGTAAAGAGGAGCTTACAACAAGGAATTTTAATTAATCTTCAAGTTTTCTTTTGATAATCCGTATTAACTCTAAGTACAAAACCTATTACCTATCTAAAATACCCATTTTCTACTTTTAATGTCATACCACGTACTATTCTAATTCAAATTTCATATTATTAAAATTACCTACTACGGTACTGTCAGGTAGAAACTAAATATTTTATTTCAATAATAAAAATTCATTTAATCCAGCCCCGACTATTCCGCTTAATCTGAGAGAGTTAGCACAATTCCGTCTCGCTTGATTCTCGACCGCCACATCAAAGGCGCCGACACTGACTCTTCCAGCTGTATTAAGCTGTGAAATTAGCAGCCCCTAGTACATGTTCTGTGTATTGTGGCCCCTGCCTAATCTTGACCAATCTTGACGTCTTAATTGTTCTTGTTCTTGACATCTTGACGTATGTGACGTGGAGTTGGGGATGTGGAACGTTAAAATTCATTTTTATAAAATTAATAAATTAAATACATATTAGTTCTACTGCAAATAAAAAGATATAGTAAGTTATATTTTATCTGTAATTATAGTGTATAAAATTAGTTCTTAATATTATATATTTCATATTTCTTATTTGACATGGTTATAGATGGCCACATATGAAGAATATATTCAACAGAATGAAGACAGGGATGGTATTAGATTTACATGGAATGTATGGCCATCAAGTCGAATTGAAGCAACTCGTTTAGTTGTTCCTCTAGGTTGTCTTTATCAACCGATAAAAGAAAGACCAGACTTGCCTCCCATTCAATATGACCCTGTGTTATGTACCAGAAATAATTGTAGAGCAATATTAAACCCTTTATGCCAGGTTGACTATCGAGCCAAGCTATGGGTGTGCAATTTCTGTTTTCAACGAAACCCTGTAAGTAATTTTTTATAAAATCGTTACTAAACAATCTAGTATTTATTTAAATTTTGTTTAAAAATTGGTTACAGTTCCCACCACAATATGCTGCAATTTCTGAACAACATCAACCAGCTGAACTAATGCCCATGTTTTCGACAATAGAATACACTATTATGAGAGCACAATGTTTGCCCCCTATTTACTTATATGTTGTGGACACCTGTATGGATGAAGAAGAGTTGGGGGCATTAAAAGATTCATTACAAATGTCTCTTAGTTTGTTACCACCGAATGCCCTTATTGGACTGATTACTTTTGGAAAAATGGTGCAGGTGCATGAACTAGGTAAATAAATTACAATAAATAATATTATTTAAATTGTCTGCTTGTGTGTCATAATTCTGTGGAAATTTTTATTATTTACAATTTTTAGGTACTGAAGGTTGTAGTAAGTCATATGTATTTCGTGGTACAAAAGACCTTACTGCTAAGCAAATCCAAGAAATGCTAGGAATTGGTAAGGTCCCTGTGAATCCCCAACAAATTGCACAACAACCAGGACAGCCTTTAAGGCCTGGGCAACCACACCAACAAACTCCAGCTCCACCTGCTAGCCGGTTTCTCCAACCCGTCTCGAACTGTGACATGAGCCTTACAGATCTAATAGGGGAACTTCAGAGGGACCCTTGGCCTGTGCCCCAAGGAAAACGTCCTCTAAGATCAACGGGTGCAGCTTTGTCTATAGCTATTGGACTTTTGGAATGCACTTACCCAAATACTGGTGCTCGTGTCATGTTGTTTGTTGGTGGTCCCTGCTCGCAAGGGCCAGGTCAAGTACTTAATGATGACCTGAAGCAACCTATTAGGTATGTGTAACCTCAAATTTGTTTCTAGACATTTAATAATGTTCATATAAAAATTATATTCTGTATATTCTGTATTTAAATTTAATCAACCAGTTAAAATAATTTTAATCCTACCATTAAAATAGTAACCACAATTGGTGTTCTTTATAAGTTAAATTGGCTGTACACAATACGAATACTTGTACAAGTTCCTAAATCTAGTACTAAATTAATTTTAGTACATACCTAATGTAAATATATATTTTTGAAGTCTAAACTAAAACCTGTGCTGGAGTAATCGAACTACTGAGTTTTTATACCTATACTTGTATGTCTGAATGGGAACTGAACATAGTGCCAAGATTTACTGCAATATCTTAAAAAACAGTAGTTGTTAATTTTTTTTATTCTGGTAGTCCCGTAACTTTTTAAGGAACAAAATAAATCGAGATACCTTAACTTTATACAAATAGGTTTATTTTCATCCAAGAAGCTACTTTTAAAGTAGCCCATTTATTTCTGACCACCTAAGAGCAATAATTTGCTGTGAGGTGACCACCCTCTACAATTGTATCATATCACTTGTAGATCTCACCACGACATTCAAAAGGACAATGCGAAATACATGAAGAAAGGTATAAAGCACTATGATCATTTAGCTATGAGAGCTGCCACCAACGGACACTGTGTGGATATATACTCTTGTGCACTTGATCAAACGGGGCTAATGGAAATGAAACAGTGCTGCAATTCTACAGGGTGAGACATTTATGTGGGTTATGTATTTCATAACAATAATAATTAAATATCTGTAGTGTACCAGAAATAAGTGCCATTATTTTAACCAAGCGTATAACTCAATAAAAGCAACAACTTTTGTCTAAGGCGTGTTGAAAATGTATTAATTTTTGAAAGACTTTCTATAATTTTTTTTATTTTATATTTTAGTTATTAACTACTACTTCATATCAAATATTTATCAGTTCGAATAGTTAATTTAATGGAATAATTCTTATAATTGAATAGTTTATTTTTTCAAATAAATTAGGTCTTGAAATAGATACGTTATTGAGTAATTCGAATATTTAAATTTTTTAATATTTGAATAGTTAAATTATTCGAATAATTCAAATATTTGCATTTTTCGAATTTATAGATAATGTTAATTCGAATATTCGAATTATCGAATATGATTCTCATCACTAATATAAAATTGGTTATTTTATATTATATTTTTTCCATTTTACATAATTTCTGCAGTGGCCACATGGTAATGGGTGACTCCTTTAATTCGTCCCTCTTTAAACAGACGTTCCAGAGGGTATTTTCAAAAGACCAGAAAAATGATCTAAAAATGGCCTTTAATGGTACTCTAGAAGTGAAATGTTCTAGAGAACTAAAGGGTAAGAATCTGCTTATAAAACTTTTATTTTAAATAACGTACATGTTCAATATTGCAGTTCAGGGAGGTATTGGTTCTTGTGTATCACTAAATGTTAAGAGTCCCCTGGTGTCAGATACAGAAATTGGAATGGGAAATACAGTACAATGGAAAATGTGTACTTTGTCACCCAGTTCGACAATAGCCTTGTTCTTTGAAGTTGTTAATCAACATTCTGCTCCAATACCTCAAGGAGGAAGAGGTTGCATACAGTTTATTACACAATATCAGGTACAATATCGTTTAATATAGAAATTTCTGAAAAAAAAAATTTTTAATGAACTAAGCCTCAATCATTCCTCAAGTTGATTTATTTGTTTCCAAATTTATTATGTCATTTGTTAGCATGCAAGTGGGCAACGAAGAATAAGGGTGACGACAGTGGCAAGAAATTGGGCGGATGCCACTGCCAATATTCATCACATTAGCGCTGGTTTTGATCAAGAAGCTGCGGCTGTAATAATGGCGAGGATGGCAGTATATCGTGCTGAGTCAGATGACAGTCCAGATGTTCTTCGCTGGGTCGATAGAATGTTAATTCGCTTGGTAAGTTAGTTTTAGAAAGTGTTTTCTGCTTTTATTATTTTTTTTTGTTATCAAAACTAGAGCACACATTTCTTGTTAAATGTTGTAAACGGTGTTGTAGTAATCGATATTTTTAATATGGTATTTCTATAGGATTAAATCGGAACTTCCAAATTCCGTCATATCCAATATCAGCAATCAAATTTTGTCTAATGGTCCTTTTTGTCTATAAAGGATAGCAGTAACCCTTGATAGAATAAAGCAAATAAAATTTGTTATTAAGTACATGTTCTTATGTTGCTTTCATTTTATTTTAGTGCCAGAAGTTTGGGGAGTACAACAAGGATGATCCCAACTCCTTCAGATTAAGTGAGAATTTCAGTTTATACCCTCAATTTATGTATCACTTAAGAAGATCGCAATTCTTACAAGTTTTCAATAACTCCCCAGATGAAACATCGTTTTATAGGCATATGTTGATGAGGGAAGATCTAACACAGTCTCTTATTATGATTCAACCAATCTTGTACAGTTATAGTTTTAATGGTCCGCCTGAACCCGTACTTTTAGATACGAGTTCTATACAACCTGATAGAATCTTGTTAATGGACACGTTTTTCCAAATCTTGATCTTCCATGGGGAGGTAAGATTTTATATATATATATTTTTTTTATGTAGGTAAATGTGTCCATTTCTTTAGACAATAGCGCAATGGCGTAACTTGAAATATCAGGACATGCCAGAATATGAAAACTTCAGGCAGCTATTACAAGCCCCTGTAGATGATGCTCAAGAAATTCTGCAGACCAGGTTTCCTATGCCTCGATATATCGATACAGAACAAGGAGGATCACAAGCTAGATTTTTGCTTTCAAAAGTGAATCCAAGTCAGACCCACAATAATATGTACTCTTATGGAGGGGTGAGTAGTGTCGCTATTTTTCATTTTTTTTTTAACTAATATAACGGAATTGGTTTTCATTTGTTTTTTAATATAAAACTTTGTGTTTCATATTTGTTCCGGATCATATTAGGCCATCATGGGCGGCACGAATGTGGTAATTTTTTTAATTTTATTTTGGTGTTTTGGGTAAAGAAATTGGGTTTATATGTGGTTTGGGTCTCTTCTTAACAAATGTGATTTTTAAAATTGGTACGCCATTGAGAATAATGCATTTTATGAATATGGAGTACAATTTTTTTCTTTATTTTTTGGGGATTTTGCAACCTGTGAAAAAATGTAAAAAATTAGTTGCCCCAAAAGGATCAGTTATTTTTATGATAATAGCACCGCCGTCTTTTCGCTAGGGCACAGTGGGCAAGTGCCCAGGGCCCCGCGACCCATAGGGCCCCGTAAGGCGTGTGGCGTGTGCGATGTAGGCCAGTCATCGGCTACGGTCTCGCAGACAGCAGGGCCTCGCACCTCGCATAAGACATTGCATTACGAAAATTAGTCGATAAATAACTTCTTAGTAAGAAAGTCGCGTCTATTAATTTAAAGTTTATTTAACATAAGTTCTAAAAGCGGTTTCACATTAAATTATAGTGTAGAGTTTGATATATATACCTGATACATTTATGGTTTAGTACAACTATTTTATTTACTGGATGTGAAAGTGTGAGTCTACGCAGAAACGATATAGACAAAATGTAAACAAGGTTTGAGGTAAGCCATTCATACTTTACTGTAAAGTGATATTTCAGTTTAGAAAGAATAGGTGCAAGAAATTTTGATTGAAAATCTCCCTAAATATTTTAGACAAAATCATTAACTAGGTCTGCAGGGCATTGTGCTAATTGCAATTTGCAACTGCTGTGTTTCGATCTCGAGTTTCATTTTATGTTTGTAATTGTTTTCAGTGTAAGAAAAAAGCGAATTCGACTTAAAGAACCGAATTAAACAAAATGTCAAAACGGTCATATCTTAGTGGCTCAGAAAAAAGGAAAAAAGCTGCTCATCAAAAAGAAGTAATTGAAAAATTACCAAAATTAACTTCATATTTTACACCAGGAGCTTCTGTGAGTAGCAATTAAGTAATACACCTTCCACATGATGAGTCATTTCGACAGCAAACTGTGAAAACTTCACATTCTACTTGTTCTACGCTAACTCTCATCAATTTAGAAAAAAAAGAGGTTGAATCATACTGTGCAGAAAGCGACCGTCTCTGTGATAAAAATGCGACAACTTCACCGACAACTGTTTTAGTTGAGCAACAACAGTCATCCGACCCAGAAAACATTTCAAACGATCCTGCCGATTATTTTTACGAAAATTTTACAGAAAAAAACCACGAAATCTGGATTCGAAAGGGGCCTGCATATTTTCAAAATAAAGATTGTGACTTTTCCAAGGCTTTTAGAACCTACAAAGACAAAGAAGCAGATGGAAAATCAGTAACTAGGTATTTCAATAAAGCATTATTTGATCGTAAATTGAAGAACAATGAAAGCGTTGAAAGGAAATGGTTGCTGTATTCGCCTTCTAAGAAATCTGTATTTTGTTTTTCATGCTGCTTATTCAATCCTTCTGATGTACAACTTTGCTCTCCGGGAGGATGTAATGATTGGAAACATATTAATCACATAATTTTACATCATGAAAATAGCAAATCACACAAGCAATCTATGATGACTTATCTGGCACGCAGTAAAACCGTTGGTAGAGTAGATACAGACCTGCTATCTCAATATCAAGAAGAAGTGAATTACTGGAAAAATGTGCTTAAACGGGTTGTCGCAGTAGTGAAATTTTTGGCATCGAGAGGACTTCCATTTCGCGGTGATAATGAAATCCTCGGATCTCCCAACAATGGAAATTATTTAGGATGTGTGGAGTTATTAAGTGAATTTGATCAGTTTCTTGCAGATCATTTAAAAAAGTTTGGGAATCCAGGGAAGGGACACATTTCTTATTTATCGGCGAATGTTTGTAATGAGTTTATTGACATAATGGGAAAACAGGTACTAACAAAAATTATAAATGAAGTTAAATTAGCAAAATATTTTTCAATTAGCGTTGATAGCACACCCGATATGTCGCATATTGACCAGTTAACTTTTATGATTCGATACGTAAAAGACCGTATTCCCGTTGAAAGGTTTTTGGAATTTATACCTATCAAAGAGCATAAATCTGAATATTTAGCAAAAACTGTCTTGAAATTTTTAGAGGATCACGATATTCCAATCAAAGATTGTAGAGGACAAAGCTACGACAATGCTTCAAATATGTCGGGAAAGTATGCTGGACTGCAAGCGCAAATCGAGGACAAATGTGAATTTGCTACCTATGTACCATGTGCCGGACATTCGTTAAACTTGGTAGGTTTTCATGCCGCTGGATGCGTACAAGAGGCAACAAATTTCTTTCAAATGGTTCAGCAATTATACAACTTTTTTTCGGGTTCTAATCACCGATGGAATACATTGACAGAATATTTAGGTTCAAAAAAAGTTCTTAAAAGCCTTTCTGAAACCAGATGGTCTGCGCGAGCTGATGCAATAAGCGCCTTGCATCAAGGCCATAAACAAATTATAGAAGCCTTGACGTCGATCGCTGAGGATACAGAGCAGAAACCAGAAACTAGGCACGAAGCCCTTAGTTTGTCCAGAAAAATGGAAAAACTGGAATTTA